GAGGAGGCAGGAGGCCTCATCAAAGGAGGAGGGTCCCCTGGGGAGAGGAGGGGTTTTTACCTGGAGGCGCCGAGCCTCATCTGCGCCGAGGGCATCTTACCTGCATCGCCAAGCCTTACCTGAGACCCCGGGACTCACCTGGGGCGAGGGGATGGGGGGGCGCGCGCGGGGGAAGGGGCAGTCCTCGCTTGCGGGGCGGGGGCGACGCGCAGCGACGTCGGCGCAGGCCTCACCTCGCCTGGGCGCGTGGAGGACCCGGTCCGCGGGGTAGCCTGGCCTGGGAGTGGGGGGCGCTCCTAATGGGCGCCGTCCCCCCCGGCCCAGATCGCAGCCGCCTCGACTTGTTTACACCGAGACCAGCTGCTGCCGCGGCTGCGGCGGGAGGGGGAGGGGGCCGGCCTCCTGTCCCGGCGGCCGCCGTGGCCAATCGGAGGGCCGCATGCAAATGAGGGGGCGCGTCATACGGCGGCCAGCTCAGGCAGGGCTGCCCTTCCCCCTGCTCCCGGCTTCAGTTTGCCTGCTCGCCCGGAAATGCGGTTGCGAGTCGCAGCCTAAGCTCGGAAGCCAGTCGGTGCCCGGGCCTGATTTCACCTATAGCTATCCCTGGTGCTCGAACAGACAAGGATTCTAACCCGACGTGGGGTTAGTAGGAGGTGGTGTCTGTACCCGCCCCTCCCACCCCCCGAGAAATAGTCGTAATTGTTTTCGTTAATCTGCCGGCCAGTCTGGTAATCCCTCCCACAATCCTGTAGTTTCTCTATTTGACCAGGTTCTGAGGTTTGAAGAAGAGATCCTCTCCAGAGATTATCCAGATGGTAAGAGTCAAAGTTGGAAGTCTCACTTTCCCCAAGCACGTGGAGCAGACTCTTAGAAGGAAAGGCCTAAAGGTGTCCTTTTGCTAGTAGACTCCCAGAACCAAAGCTTTAGGAGCCAGTCTCTACTGCTGGGCATCATCTATTCCCGACATCCTCTGGGATGCTTGGCCCCCAGGCTATTGTAGGTCTGACCCCAGTGGAAATGTCTGTTTCAACATGTGTCTGGCTTACATAGACTTGTGTTCATTGCAGAATCCCAGTACCCTGCAGGCCTGAAAAGTACTGCATCAGGAATACCCATTAGAGTTAAGTCCCAGTGTTGGAGATCAGAAAGTGGACAGTTGGTTCAGTGGGGAGCCTGTGAGGTCCCCCATGCCTGCCTGCTGCAGCTCCATGTGTTAAAGGAGACCGACATCAGCAACGTGAGGGAAATCAGGTCCCTTGTATGCCTGGGTCTCTTAATGGCCTCAGGAAAACCACTGAATCTGTGATCTCTAGAGTCTGGGCTCAGGACACCTGGATTAACATGCTTCAGAGTGAAGGCCAAGCTGGCACAGGGTGTAGAATGTAGCAGAACAAGTGGGCCAGCCTAATTAGGCCTCCCAGACTTTTTTGGGGGGCAGGAGGTCTCACTTTGTAGCCCTGGCATCTAATTCACAGATCCACGTGCTTCTGCCTCTCAAGTACTGAGGTAAAGATGTTCATTACCAGGCCCAGCTAATCCCAGGTTTTCTTGATGTTGTGTGCCCTCCCACGCAATATGCATCTAACCCAGAGCTGTGTTCATGGTGTGTAAGCATTACATGCTGGGTGACAGTCCCATCTTTTTAGTCTTCAAGACTGACCCTCCAGCCCTTCGATCCGTGACAGGAAAATATTTATTTTTCTTAAAGAGAGAACAGGGCCTCAGACTGAGGAGGCAGGAGGCTTTGGTTCTTCCTTCTTGTCTAGGTAGTGTCTCAGGGCTGTGGGGAAATCAGTCATGACACCATTGGCCCCCAGATTGAAGGCCACTTCAAAATCCGATTCTTCATTAAGGCACCAAAATAGCACCTGAGCGGGAAAGAAGGACCAGCTTAGTTTCCAAATCTACCCAACGCTTCCTTTAACTTCCAGGAGGTGGCACCCCCTCTTCTGCACAGACTTCTCAGCAATGGTGAGCTGGAGCTGATGGTAACCTTTTTAGGAATTTTCAGACTGGTTATTAAACATAGCTATTATTGATGGACAGTGGTGGCGCACACCTTTAATTCCAGCACTGGGGACACAGAAGCAGGCGGATCTCTTGAGTTTGAGACCAGCCTGGTCTACAGAGTGAGTTCCAGGGCAGCTAGGGCTACACAGAGAAACCTTGTCTCAAAAAAAAAAAAAAAAAAAAAAAATCAAACCAAGACAAAAACTCCACAACTGTTATCAAAACTTAAATTGTATGATCTTAGAGTCAAGTGTTGCAGTGTGTGCCTATAAGCCCTGCACTCAGGAAGCTGAGGCAAGAAGGTGGAAGATTCTGAAGCCATCTGGGCTACAGTGAGTAGCTGGTCAGCCAGAGTTATATAGCAAGACCTGCCTCAAAAATAAATACATAAATAAGTGTATGAACTTAAAATTAAGGGGTCTCAACACTCAGGAGGGCAGAGGCAGGTGAATCTCTGTGAGTTCCAGGGCAGCCTGGTTTATACAGTAAATTTTAGGCCAGCCAGGGTTATAGAATGACTTTGTCTCAAAACAAGTAAGAAATTCTATTACAAACAAAGGTAAAAGCTAGGTGGACGACTTTAATCCCAACACTTGGGAGGCAGAAGAGGCCGATCTCTGTGAGTTCAAGGACAGCCAGGACTGTTAAACAGAGAAATCCTGTCTTGAAAAACAAAACAAAAGGTGAAATCCAGGTGCAGTGGTGGGTGCATGTTTCTTTTTATGGCACTAAGAAGCAAGAGACAGGAGGAAAAGAAATTCAAGGACACCCTCTGCTCTATAGGGAGTTCAAGGGCCAGCCTGGGCTACATGAGACCTGTCACAAACAAACAACCCAATTGCTGGGGATGTTGCTCGATGGTGTAACACTGTTTCCAAAGCCCTGGAAAACAAAACAAACAAAAACACAACCCAGGGCCAGTGAAGTGACTCAGCAGGTAAAGGCACCCAAGGACCTGAGATTTATCTCCAGCATCCACCTGGTGGAAGGAAAGTCCTATAACTTACTCTGACCTCTGTGTGTACGCTGTGGGATGTGACCCCCCCACCCCATGTACACACAACACACACATACAAATGTAATATATTTTTTAAGTTGAATACTCAACAGCCTATCACTAATTATTTTACAGTTTCCTAGGTCTCGTCTCTCTGTTAGGGTCTCTTGTAACCAAGCTGGCCTCAAACTCTCTACGCAGCTGGTGGTGACCTCAAACTTCTGTCATTCTTCTTCCGTGTCCCAGGTGCTCAGGTTATACCTGTTGTTTTGTTTCTGTTTTGCTTTTTGTTGTTGTTTTTTATGATTTATTTGTATTTAAAGTGTTAAAAAGGTTTACTTATTTATTTTATAGGTATGGTGTTATGTCTGTTACCAACAGAGGCCAGAAGAGGGCATCTGATCCCTGGGAGCTGGAGTTACAGTGATTGTGAACCACTGATTACGGGTGCTGGGAGCCAAACTTGGGTGCGCCTTAGAGCAGCCAGCGCACTCAACCGAGAGCCACTACCTGTGTTACCTGGTGCTGGCAACTGAACCCAGGCGTTGCGGCTGCTAGGCAAGCGCCCTGCCCGCTGAGCCACACCCCCAGCCACTGGGTTTTAATTTTTAAACATCTAATTATGTTTGTTTATGTGGGGGCGGGTGCACAGCACCCCAGGTGTGTGGGTCAGAGGATAGCTCGTAGGAGTTATGGGTCAAACCCAGGTCATCAGGTTTGATAGCAGAAGCCTTTAGCCCTTGAGCCATTGCACTGCCCTCCTTGTTTGTCTTTGTTTTGTCTTTTGGGTTTTTTCCTGATTGCTTTTTTTTTTTTTTTCTTTCTTCTATCTCTCCAGTCAGGTGTCTTGTTCTTTTGAGGCAGGGAGTGTTATTTAGCCCAAGCTGATCTACAACTCACCATTCTCCTGCCTCAGTTTCCCATGGATTAGGTGTGTGAGCCAGGGCACCTGGATGACATGGGATTTTGATTCCAGGAGCTCACCGGATCTCTGCTGTCTGGGCTTCACAGATGAGGGTCCCATCTTTAAACCCGTGGAGGTCAGCGGTGAGCGAGGGCTGGTAAGGAAGAGCTGTTCTCTAGAGCCTCACTGACACCAGGACAGGCAGGAGCCAAGCCTGGGCTCTCCCTGCTCTCGTCACCCAAGGTTGACTCCTGCCCATGATGGCCTCAGGCTATGAATGACACTCTCCCCCACCATCACGCGGTCAGTCGCCATGTTGTGAACAAGTGAGTCTCACTCTGAATTATCTAGATTGGGTTTCCTGCACCAGCCTTCAAAAGCTTCCCTTCCTGGGTGCTGAGGATCACAGTCCTACTGGATGTGAGGCCATGGGCCTAACTGACCTCTGCTGCCCTTAGCCTAGGGAACCCACCCAGTTCCTCTGAGTCCAGACTTTTGCTCCTCCAAGCTTTAGTTCGGATATGCCTACCTGTGATGTCCTTCTCCTCAAGAGCTGTCTTCCCCTGTCCTTCTTCTGACTGATCCCACCTCCGTCTGCTCATGACCCATAGTACTGACTCCTGTCCTTAGCTGTGATATCACATCCCGCATGGGGTTGTCGGTCTTCATTTCTTTTCCCCACATTTGGTAGATGCCTGGAACCATCTCAACGAGGCTTGCTGATTTAATGTCCAAGGTCAGGCACAGTTGTTTATGCCTGTAACTCCACCATTATGGAGGCAGGGACAGGACGATTGCCATGAGTTTGAGGCCAGCCTGGTCTACATTAAAAAAAAAAAAAACCAGGGGCTGAAGAGACAGCTCAGTGATTAAGAGCACTGGCTGCTCTTCCAGAGGACCTTGCTTGGATTCCCAGCACCCACATGGTGGCTCACAGCCATTTGTAACTACACTTCTAGGGTATCTGATGTCCTCTTCTAACTTCTTTGGGTACCAGGCACACATGTGGTACACAGGTATACATACATGCAAAACACTCATACACATAAAATAAGACAATAAAAAAATGAAAACAAAACCATGACCAGGCATAGTGACACATGCCTTTAATCCCAGCACTCAAAAGACAGAGACAGGTAGATCTCTGTGAGTCAGAGGACAGGTTGGTCTACAGAGCAGGAGTTATATGGTGACGCCCTGCCTCAAAACAACAACAAGAAAAAGGGGCCAGTGATATAGTTGAGCAGTTAAAAGCACTCTGCCCTTCCAGAGGGGATAGATTTGATCCCAGTATCTGCATGGCAGCTCAAAACTATCTGTAACCACGACTTCAAGGGAGTTGACACCATCTTCTGGCCTCAACGCCAGGCCAGATATATATATATATATATACATATATATATATACATATACATACATATATATGCAAAATACTTATTACACATAAAAAATAAAACAAAAAAACCCACCGAAACCCAAACCAAAATGCCTTCACTATTCCCGTAGACCACTGATGAAGGCAGAGCAACAGGGTGGGCTGGGCCTGGTTTCCCAGCGCCTTTCCAGCAGACCCAAAGTTATCAATTCCTGATTAATCCCAGGTACACATTCAAAAGAGCTACAGGTACCATTCTCTGCATTCAAACGGGCTCAAGACAGGGTTTCTCTCTGTTTCTCAAGTTTCTTTCCTCGCTGTTCTGGAACTTGCTCTGTAGACTAGGCTGGCCTTGAACTCAGAGCTCTACCTGCCTCTGCCTCCCAAGTGCTAGATTTAAAGGCTGTACCACCACTGCCTGGCTCATTCTCTGCATTTTATAGGCAAAGAAACTGAGACTCAGGGGTGGGATCCTGCCCAAACGATCCACCTCCGATTGCAGTGTGATGGAGATTGTGCTACCAGGTATATACCGGGAACCAGCTCCTTGCTGGGGTAGTGTCAGAGTCCTCACCTGCACCCCTCGGTCCTGCAAGTACTGAATCAGACTCTTCCTCATGATGACCCTTGGGGAAGGATGGGGATAGCAAAGGCAATGATGAGAGGGGACAAAGGACAGTAGCAGGTCCCTGTGTGACACCTCCACCCGGCAGCCCTGCCCGCCTCACCATTTTGTAACTGCAGCTGACAGCTGGTTCATCCATCCACAGGAAAATGGGAAGTAAGTCCTGTGGAGAGAACTGGTGAGGTCAGCTCCTCGGTGTTGTCCGTGCCCCCCCACCCCCGTCACAGGAGGGTGGTGGGAATGACTCCTTGACCTGTGCACCCCTGGCCTAGCCTGAAGAAACTATGAAGCTGTCTGGAGGAATAATTCATCCCTCAGTGAGAGCCTACTGTGTCCTGGAGTCGTTGGTTTATGAGCTTGTCCCTCTTCCTGTCTTCAGCACAGGGAACTGAGTTTAGACAGTGGGACACGCTGGGGGTCAGAAGTGCATCAGTGATGGGCATGGAACCAACTTGATTCCAGGACATCACGGGGGTCCTCCTGGTTGAGTCTGTGTGGGGTTTTAAGATAGCTGAGGCTGGCCTAGAACTTGCAACCCTCTGGCCTTGGCCTCATGAGTGCTGGGATTACAGGTGTTTGACACAGTGCCCAAACGTGGACAGCTGTTTCAGATGAGACACTGCTTCTTGTCACGGCTTATTTTCCTCCCTGGGTGATTTTAGAACCATGTCCTAGGTCAGGCTCTGGAATATTTCAAGCTGTGTGACCCTGGGCAAGTCACAGAAACTCTCAGCATAGCTGACAGCTAACAGGGCTGTCGTGCCTCTTCCCTCCCAGGATGGGGTACTATAAGATAAAGGTCAAATACTCCCCCAGTCTGTGAAAACCTTTAACCCTGTGTAAACACTGCCAGTGCAATGCTTTGGAAGGGCTGTGTGGCTAGCTAGCTTTCTTGAGAACCACATAGCGGAACCAGAGCTTTGGGGACAATCCTGGAGAAGTTGTCAGAAAGGCCAAGGACGAGGCAGGTCCCCTCCCACCCCGCTAAGGAACTATCTAGTTCCTAATACTTCCTCTTACATTACTTTGTTAACAGTGCTGCTTGCTGCACAGCGGACTGACTCACCTTTAGAGAAGGAGAAAGCCAGGCTGTGAGCCCAGAGGGCCTGACCCAGGCACAGCAGTTTTATTTCCTAGACTGGCCTGCCCACGTTATCATGTACTACTACAACTACATTGACCAGAGGCATTTGCCATCAACGTATTGAGTGAGTGAATTTCTTCTACAGCTGCATACTGATAACATACTTGCCTGCAAGTCAGGGGGTCACAGACCCCCTAGTTTTCATGAATGCCAGGCAAGAACTACAGTGTACAGGCCCATAATTCCAGCACTAAGGAGGCTGAAGCAGGAGGACTGAGAATTTGAGGCGAGCCTGGACTACATAGTGAGACCCTTGTTTCAAAAAAAAAAAAAAAAAGATCACCCCTTTTCAAGGGCTTAGTGTGGTGGCTTCCTAGTGCTGTGCCCCTTTAGTACAGTTCCTCATGTTGTGGTGACCCCCACCATAAAGTTAGTTTCATTGCTACTTCATAACTATAGTTTTGCTACCGTTATAAATCATGATGTAGATACCCGTGTTTTCTGATGATTTTAGGCTACCCCTGTGAAAGGGTCATTCATTTCCCAAAAGGGTCTCGACCCATAGGTTGAGAAACACTGGCTTAGTGAATAAAGGTCCTTGCCATGACTGAGTCCAATCCCCGGAACCTACACAAAGGCAGAAAGAGGGTTGTCTCTAGCCTCCATATGCACACCATGGCACGCACACACACACCCCATAACAAATTCAAACAAATAAACAAACAAGCCAGGATGTGACTCAGTTGGTAGATTGTTCCCCAAGCACACACAAAGCCTTGCGTTCACCGCGTGGTGGTGGTGCACGCCTTTAATCCCAGCACTAGGGAGGCAGAGGCAGGCAGATCTCTGTGACTTCGAGGCCAGCCTGGTCTACAGAGCTAGTTCCAGGACAGGCTCCAAAGCTATAGAGAAACCCTGTCTCGAAAAACAAAACAAAAAGCCTTGGGTTCAGTGTCTGGCCCTGACTAGAACCAGCTGTGGTGGTATATGACTATAACTGCAGCTCTAGTGATGTGGAGGCAGGAGGATTAAAAATTCAGTGCCTTCCTCAGCTACTTAGTTCCAGGCCAGCTTAATATACATGAAACTCTGTCTCAGTGTGGCCTGAGCAGGGTGTTTCCAAGCCCCCTCTCACCCCTGGTACCTGTTGATGATGGTGGGCAGGAAGCACAAGAAAAACTTCTCAGGAATGGAGACAAAAGGCAGCAGCCCCAGGTAGTAGAGCAGAAGTATCCAGATTGATCGCAATATGGTAAAGGCCATTGGCATGTCGGGGTTCTGGGTGGCAAGGAGAGAAGTGAGAAGTGGGGACCAGCAGAGTTGGCATGGGCCAAGGGGACCAGGGCAGGACATCAAAGTCACACCTTGAACAATGTAATGGTTAATTCTGTTAACTTGATTAAGAAGTAGTACCTTGGAGTTTGGTGAAACACACCTGTGAGGTGTGTGAGGATGTTTCCACAGAATTAGCTAGGGGAGGGAGGAACCCTACCCTGAATGTGGGCAGCGCCATCTCTGTAGGCTAGGAGTCTGGATGAAACAAAAGGAGAAAAAGGAAGAAGCCAGACCAGGCACTGTCTTCACTCCTCAGCCACCATTAGCAAGTGGCTGTTTCTCATGCCCTCTCTACCTCTAGCAATTGGGCCAAAGTGACTATGGGTTAAAGTCTTCGAAACTGTGAGCCATGAGATGTTTCCTGAGGTTCTGTTACAGTAACAACCGACCAGACCAGCCAGTGTTTCCTGAGGTTCTGTTACAGTAACACTGACCAACACAGCCAGTGCTTCCTGAGGTTGTGTTACAGTAACTGCCGACCAGCACAGCCAGTACTGGGGGTTCCCTAGAACTGGCCACTTGGCACCAGTGCACACAGTCACGCTCTCCTACTTCTCCAAATCCTACTCTTGGGGACTGTGCTCAAACCTAGTTCCAGGGGCCATGCTGGGCCCTTCTAGCGTAGGCTCCTTGGACTGGGTGGCTTCTAGCCCCATAGCAGAGAAAGAGGGACTCACGGCAGCCTTGCACTTCCTCATGATTGAGTTCTTCTCTGAAGCCCAAATAGTAATCTCACTGCGGTCAAAGCTCCTAGCCAGGTTGGCTACCTAGGATGGGAACACAGGGAGTAAGGGAAGCCAGGCCTCTCTTGGACCTGCCCTCACCTGCCTGGCTTCAGTACCACCTTGTGGATTAGCTCTTCATTTTTTTCTTTGATCTCCACAATCGCGGGAATCCTTGGAAATTTCTGGAATATATCCTCCAACCGTATCATGTGCCGATCCGACCCATGGGCAAAATGGCCTGGGAGTTGGGTCACAAAAACTGGGGTCAGAGTAAGATAGATGAGCTGGGGGGGGGGGAGTAGGGAGAGTATATGAGAGGTGGCTAAGCAGTGCGAGGCTGGCTGTCCACACCCTACCTGGTGAGAAATAAATCTCCAGTTCTGTCTTGTAGAGGGGCAGTTCCTGTGGAGGGCGGAGATTGACATTAGGAAGCATGTGCACGAGTGTCAGCTCTCAGTGTGAGGGGCTGCAGAGCTCACCTGGAAGTCCAGGCTGTCCACATCCTTATTTAGGCCCGACTGGCGGGACAGGTTCTTGTCGTGTGATACTACCACCACGCCATCCCGTGTGAGCTGGCAGTCAAGCTCCAAGATATCTGCTCGCTGGGCCATGGAACTATGAGAGCAAAGGTTGGTGGGGGAAGAGGACAAGGGAAGGACCAGGGCATGTAGTGGAGGGGAGATACTGGGACAGAATTTATGGTGGGACATATGACCCCACCTGTACAATTCCAGGGGCTTCAAGACACCCAAATTAGGAAGTGGATAAATAGCACCCTTGGTTGCCTTGCAGAGCTCCAACCCCACAACCTTACATGTCGGACTTACTTCTCTATAGCCTCCATGGTGTTCTCTAGCCGCTCTCCAGACCCTGTGTGAGGCAGTTTGGGTGGGTCTCTAGGGCCTGGCCTGACCTTCCTTCCTGCCTTCCTTTCTTCCTGATGGTTTCCTACTTGCTACCTCTCTTCCCATCAGCCACGCTGAACTGGCTCTCCCTCCCTGCTCCGTGCCTCCCAGGCCTCCGTGGCTCTCCTCACCTCTGTCTTTATTTCATTCACTCCCACCTTGCACCTCCGCTATGTGCAGCCCACTGTGGCACCTGTCTTTTCTTGGGCTCACACCGCCCCAAGTGGCTGCCAGCGCCTCCCGCCTCCCTGACTCAGCTCACCTCCACGGTGGGCAGCCAGGCGGATAGGGAAGGTGGGAGCCCGGGTTGTGTGCAGCAGATGAGGTCGGCGCAAGAAGAAGAAGGAGAGCATGATGTAGCTGCCCAGGGTGGGCAGCGCCAAGTACAGGATAGGGATCATAGCCTCACTCCCACCGCAGGTGCCTGCCACAGTGCAGCCTCCTCAGTCCCAGAAGGCTCTGTTGTCTGCTGCTGCCTGCTGCTGAGTCTGCCCCGCTGAGCCGGTGTAGGCTGGCTCTACTATTGGGCAGCACCACGCCCCAGGACCTGCTGAGCCTGCTGCTATGCCGCTGGCACTTGGCCAGACTGCAGTATGCCCCAGAGCTGGGGCAGGCACAGGAACCCAGGCAGCCCTGGGCTTCATGTCCACAGACATTCTGTAGATCCCAGCACCCCCTCTGTTCTTGACTGTGTGTGTGTGGGTGTGTGTGTGTGTATGTGAGCAACTCCCCTCACCATTTTTAGAACTTCCTGTTTTCCATGAGTGCTTGTGGCCAGGATCTGTAACTACCTTTGCCACTTCCCAGGAATGTTGGGGTGTAGGGTGCCCCTGAGTCACGACAGCCAGTTAAACAGGAAGCTGTTAGGGAACACAGTGACTGAAAGAAAACTGACCCCTTTCCAGGAGTCTGGAGCATCTTATAACCCATCCTCACCCCTGGCCAGCTGAGCCAAAGACTGGCTATGTGAGGCCACAGCTGCATGCAGGGGTCAGTCGTGAAAGCAGCACGCTGGGGGTCGCATTGGCACACAGAGACGGAGGCAGGGTCATCCATATACACATCTCTATATTTATATATTAGATACAGGCACGGGGAGTTGGGGAGGGGCACCGGCTCTCCACGGGCCCCACCTCCACTTCCAATAACCCACACACAGAAGCAGCAAGGGCGTTACATGTGGCAGCTTTGAGAGGGAGAGGGTTTGGCCTGGCCTGGCTCCTCAGGGAAACTAGCCCTTGAGACTTAGGAATGTTCCTTCGGGGAAAACAGGGTGGGGTTCCAACAAGTTGAGTAGGGCAGAGCTTAGCCTGGGTCCCTACTCAGTGCCCTCCACCCCTCTATAGCACAGGTCCTAGGGCAGTTGTGGCCCTTCCGTTCCAGAATGGTCTGCCAGAGCCAGGGCTAGCGGGGTAGATAAAGGCAGAGCAGCGGAGATCAGCTCTGGGGCCACCTCACCACTTAGGCCCCAGGGAGATGGGGCAGGGGTTGGGGTGAGGGGAGCCTGCCTGAAGCAGGAGATCCCAGCGGAGTGGAAGAAGATGGCCAGGCCCACCCTCGGTCCAGCCTGGGCTGCCAGGGTCCGGGTTGAGCAAAGTTCATTACTAATGATTTGCAGAGAAGGACCAGGTAGGAGCAGGACCTGAAGGAAGAAGAGCAAAGTGAGCTGGGGAGACCCCACTGAGCCCCCGAGACCAGTGCCTTTGATCCGCCCGTGGGTCTTGGCTCCCTCCTCTGCAGCAGCAGCAGCCACCACCAAGTGCTACTGTGACTGCGGCCTCCTCTCAAAGCCATCGTGGTGCACCCCGTCCTAAGGCCTGGGGTGACTCCTCAGAGTGGGAGGCTCCCTCGCCTTTGTGGGTCTCCAGTGGATACCGATGACAGCAGGAGACGGACGGGCCTCGGTAGTGGTTTACAAAGGACCAGGTGGGCCGCAAATGACTAGCAGGCCCTGGCCCTTCTGTTGCTACCACACACGTGGATGAGGCACCCAGGCTAGGCAGCCAAGGGCGTTGTGAGCCACTCACCAGGTCCCGGGGGACAGGGGTGTCTGTTCTTGTTAGGGGGCCTCTGAGGCCCCTGGCTGGAAGCGGGCTGTCTCTTGGAAGATCAGTTCCTTCAGCCGCTCCTTGGGGAGATCATCCAGCTCCATGTCAAAGGTGAAGGGCTCCTCAGCCACTGGCTAGGGGGCAAAGACAGTAAGGCACAGGCCAGCACTGGGGATACTGATGCCCCTCCCAGCTCCTGGTGGCCAGCCCACCTCATCTGTTGGGTCATAGTACTGTTCCAGGTACGGGTGAGCCAGCGCTTCCTCTACAGTGATGCGCTTGTTGGGGTTGAAGGTTAACATCCGGTCCAGCAGGTCAAGTGCTAAGGCAAGGCAGGAGTAGCAGTCATGAAAACAGCTGAAGGAGCTCCCATAGGCAGCACCTGTCTGGTGCCCAGGGGCCTATTTACTGAGGCAGGCGTTAGGATAATACACCTTTCTTTGTTACTGAGGCAGGCATTAGGATAATACAGCTTTGCCGCTGGGCTCTAGCCTATCCCCAGTCCTTTGTCTCACTCACCTTTGGAGTCAGATTTGGGGAAAAGCTTGGCCCAAGCCACCTTAGTTTTCGAGGGCAGAGACTGTAGATAGTTTCGGGCCTTCATGTTGATGATACAATTAAGGTCCTCCTGGGATGGGGAGCCCAAGATACCTGTGGACAAACCAGTTGTTTTACTAAGATGTCAAGTCCTGTTTCTGGGAACAGGTCAGGAAGCAAGAACAGGAACCCAAGCCCAGCCACCTGCAGCCACCTCCTCATCAACCCACTGGGGCAATGACGGAAGCAAGGAGCTGAGGACCAGGGAGTGCTGGGCTCAAATCCTGACTGCAGTCTTCCTTAGGTATAGGCCTTAGTCTTGTTTTTCCCATCTTTCAAATGGGAAAGAACACCTTACAGAAATACCGTTCGATGCTGGGGAGGCTCCACATGTGGTACCCCAATTCTCACCCTCCAGAAACATCATCTCCGATAACTCCCATCCCCGTGAGCCAGTCAGGTCATCTCACCTAGAATGTGGTTGAGCTGGTCCAGGTAGTGCTTGCCAGGGAAGATGGGCCGGTTGGAGAGCATCTCAGCCAGAATGCAGCCCACAGACCAGATGTCAATGGATTTGGTGTAGCCCTGGGGAGGAGAATATGCTCAGCTCCTCAGTCAGCCTTATCAGTGCCTTCTTGGCATTTGGGCCAAGCACTACAACCAACTTAGATCCAACACCAAGCAAAGGGCAGAGAACAGAGGCTAGGAAATCTCTAATCTCCAATCTCTACATTTTGCAAGAGCCCAAGGGCCAAAGGGCTTATGCCAAGGCCCAGAGATAGCTCCAGGACTTTCTTGTAAAAGTGGGCTGCTCTCCTACCTTGGAGTTAAGCATGATCTCTGGGGCTCGGTACCAGCGTGTGGCCACATACTCCGTCAGGAAGCCGGTGTGGTCATGTTCAGGGTCAGCGATCCGGGCCAGGCCAAAATCACAGATCTGGAATCAAACCCAGGCCACTGAGTAAGGTGCCTAAGGCCCCCACAGCCCAGAAAGTGCCCCTGCTCTGCCTATGCTGTTCTTGCTCGCCATGCACCAAGGATGCTTCTACTGGTGGTGCCCCACACCCAGGGAAGAAGCAGGCATGCAGCCTCTGACCTTAAGGTCGCAGGTGGTGTTGATAAGCAGGTTGGAGGGCTTCAGATCCCGGTGGAGCACGTTAGCTGAGTGGATATACTTGAGGCCCCGAAGGATCTGGTAGAGGAAGTAGCAGATGTGATCGTTGCTCAGCTGCTGGCTCTTTAGCAGCTTGTACAGGTCTGTCTCCATGAGGTCCTGAACAATGTAGCTGAGGAGGATTCCAGAGACCCCCAGGTTGGGGGCAGCAGGAGACTTTGTTAAGGAAAACAGGTTCTGACCAGAAGGTCACATACTCCTTTCAGTGAGGGCCCCTTGACCTCATGAGCCTTACAAAGTGAAGCCTGGAGCTGAGGGTGTACAGGGCACATCTATTCTGGGCCCTCAGTTTCCCTATGGGGCAAATGAGGGCACTGACGAATCGTAGTGGGAGAACTTCAGAGGAACAGCAGTTCTGAGTTAACCCACTCATGTCTGGTGTGCCTATTCTACCTGTCCATGCCTCAGTTTCCTCATCTGACAAGCAGGGAGAGTAACTGTTCCTTAGAGCGCGGCTGTGAGGAAAAAGATGCCCCGTGGAGATGCTCAGCAAACAAAAAACGCTGTTACTCTATGGGCCGAGCCATGTGGCGGCTGAGTGGGTTAAATGAGATAATGCATGAACGCCATCTGGCACACAGTAACTGTTTGCTTTAAAATAAATGCCTGCCTTATGGGAATGATTTGTGCCAGAAAAGTGAGGAGACACTCCCAACCATGCTCCTACGGAGTGACCATACACCAGAAGGCGGAGAACGAAAAGTCCCTTTAGACTTGAAGATAAAACAAAGATTCAGCACAAACAGCTGGGTGGTGGTGCACACGCCTTTAATCCCAGCACTCTGAAGGCAGAGGTAGGTGGACCTCTTGTGAGTTTGAGGCCAGCCTGGACTACAGAGTGAGTTCCAGAATATCCAGGGAAAACACAGAGAAACCCTGTCTTAAAAAACCAAAAAACCAAAGCAAAACAAATAAACAAAGTAAATGTCATCTTGCCTGACTTTGGAGGAGCAGCCGGGGGCTGAGCACCAAACCTCATTCTTGTAATCCCAGCACTTGAGAGGCAGGCGCAAGAGGATTATTCCCTAGAAATTTAAGGCCAGCATGGTCTAATAAGTTAGCCTCAGGCCAAGCAGGGAGACATAGTGATACTCTCTCAAAAAGGAAGCCTGGACTGTCCTACACAGGACATGTGAGCTGGGCCTGGTGGTACCTCTGAGTTCCAGGCTAGCCAGAGAAAGTGAGGTCCTTTTCAATGAAAGAAGCAGCGCATGCAGACACACACATGGCCCATCCCTGCTGCTTCGTAAGTGTGGGAGTCTAGAGGTGCAGTGACCCGCTTAAGATCACACTGCAAGCCGGAGTATGGGGATTTCATGTGACGAGAGATACAGATGCTGTCCAATGAATCCTGGGACTGGGAGGGGTGGGTAGGGAAGAGGCCACGGGTGTTACGGACTGCTAACATGGCAGCCAAGCAGGAAGTAGATATGGACAATGAACTAGATATTTGAACTAGGCAACAAAGGCTGGACTGCATTCCCTGGGCAAGGTGCAAGTCCACAGGTAATTAGGGTGGGGCTCTCAGAAAAGTAGGAAGGCTCCAAGAAAGCCAACTGGGAAGAGAGGAAGCAAGAAACAGAAACAGCCGATTTTCGGCTTTCCAATCCAGACAGACCCTCTAGCCCCCTTATCCTTCCTTGTGCCCTTGGCGAAGCCAGGAACAGGGGTGCAAAGACTTGTGACTCTAGAGCCCCCCCAGATGTTCCTCCTTAACAATACACGGTGGTCTCAAAGACTCCACATGCTCCCCCACACATCATGTCCCTCAGAAGGCACTGCCAAACTTCCCATGAGGGGCCTCAGTTTCCTCATCTTTGAAATGGAAGTGGTACAGGTCATCTCTCAGGGACGTTAGAAGGTTAAATTAGGACCATCAAAACCCTAGGCATGCCCAATACCAGCGTTCTTCCCCGCCTGCCTTCCAGGCTGAGATCTCCAAAGAAAGAATCATGAGTCTGTTAAGCAAGAATGGGCTGTGGGCAGAGACTGGGTCATGTCACAGAACTGCAGATGTCAGTAGACAAAGCGCCCATAGAGATCATTTTGCCCAGCACTTCCCCCACACAATACCATACTGGGACACAGAGCAAAACCGACTTGTCCAAGGCCACCTCACTTGGCTGCTACACACCAGGAGCCACTGAAGGCCTGC